AGGCAACCCGGCACTAGCTGCTTCCCCCCAGCAGACCAGGGAGACGCGAAGCTAGCGCTCCCCCCCCAGCAGACCAGGGAGCCACGGAGCGGCTTTTCTCACCGCGGAGGACGTGGGCGGCGGGACCGCGGCGCGTCTGGGCAGTCCCGCCGCCCGTGTCCTCTGGGGTGAGAAAAGCCCCGTTCTTAAGTACGGATCCGACATAAGTCGGATCCGTGTACCCCGGGGACTGCCTGTATACTGAATTTGGTGGTCATAGCTCTTTCCATTTAGGAGGAATTCTTGATCAAACAGACATACAAACTTTCTAAAATATACAATAGATTTATGACACAGTAATCTCTTAGATCCTCATTATGCTAAGCGCTGAAGAAAAATATGATAAAGCACTATATTAGAGTTAGGTACTATTGAAAGACAATTCATGTCTCAAAAACCTCAGTTTTAGTTTAAAAATAGGCATTAGTGAAACAAACAGGAAACAGGTGACTGTAATGAAAGTATGTTTTTCATAGACTTGCTTTGTGCACTAGTATTAATACTCGATGTATGGTTTTCTAGCTTTAATGTTGGCAGGTAGGATAAAGGAGACTTGGGGCAGCTATAACTGTCCTCTTTAACCACCACTACCTGATTTTATTCTTCTTGCTTCTTCAGTTTTCTGGCTGTTAGCCTTCTTATGCTTTTTATTTTCCTTAACAAAATGTAACTGCACAGGACAATATATTTCCATTCTATGCAGACTGAAGTGGTGGTAATGCTATTGAAGGAAAAAGAGGTGATGGAAGAATAAGATCTCTATGTTTCACGTGAGTTTCTAGTTTTATTCTAACTTTCATATGTCTTACAGGTTGCAATGAAATACTGCAGGAAATATGGAAGTGACAAAGTACGAGTCCTAACATTGGTAAAAAATCGGGGAAAAGGTGGAGCTGTCAGAATGGTAATGAATACTTTCTTTTTTTTGTTTGTTTGTTTCTGTTTTGAACTAGTCCTAGTCCTGCCAAAATAAGCAGATGCCATGTATTTATTTAATGATTTTACATTAATAAAATCATTTTGAGGAAAAAAATGTACATAAAATAAACTTATTGTGTGGGCTTAGTAACACTGGGAACAAAATCATGTGAGAATTTAACATTTAATAAAGAATTAAAGCCAAACTTCATCCATTAGTTAATTTAGAACTAACTAGCTCCTCAATTAAAAAAAAAAACCCTTATAAGATGAAAATCAGGCTCCGGTAATGAGAAAAGTAAATACAAACATTCCTCTCTGGTTTATAGCTTTAATATTTAGAAATTGAATAGAGAATTACGGTCTAGGTCCAACAAAGTTTTGCTTAAATAGGAGTAGTCCCACTGAAGTCAACTGGGCTTGATTTTGGTGGACCATAATGTCTGTATTTCATATATTAGCTTACAAATAGATGTTTCTCTTCACAAGAGAAATAGATTAGTATGTGATTATGTAATTGTTTAGAGTGAGTGATTTTTTTTTTTTAACTTAAAACTAATGCAATCCTTTAGGATATGAGTCATGAATTTGAATAATAGGTGACTTTAAAGAGTAAAAAAACAACTTTTCACTCATGTTGTCAGTACACCTTATTTATGATTCCTGGAGTCTTTCATCTTGCATTTATTTTTGCAAAGATCATCCTAATAAAGCTGCATCTATAACTGTCTGTCCTAACATTTTTATATGGTGAATATAAGAATTCCCTCACTGGGTCAGACCAGTGGTCCATCCATCCTAGTATTTGTCTTCCAACAGTAGTCAATGCCAGGTGCTTCAGAGGGAATAAACAGAACAGGCAGTCTTTGAGTGATCTGGCTTTTGGTAGTTAGAGGCTAGAGACACCGAGAGTATGCAGTTGCATCCCTGCCCATACTCGCTAATAGCCATTGATGTACTTATCCTCCATGAACTTATCTAGTTTTAGAGTTTTTTAAATCTGATAGGATGTTGTGAAGGGTAAAACGCTATGCCAACTATTTTCCCAGGTCAACTGTGTTGTGTTCAGAAGTACCTCCATTTGTTTGTTTTATACCTGCTGCCTGTTAATTTCCTTGGGTGCCCCTTCATTCTTGTGTATGTGAAGAAGTCAATAATATTTCCTTATTCTCTTTCTTCACACCAGTGGTTCTCAACCAGGGGCACTTGTACTCCTGGTGGTATGTAGAGGCCTTTCAGGGGGTACTTCACCTCATCTCGATCTCTGTTTCTCAACCTGGATTGAGGGGTGGTGTTAGCTGGATTTATGGAGGTTACAAATAGAGGGCAGGCATTATAGGGTGGCAAGCAGGGCAATTACCCAGAGTGCCATGCTACAGGGGGCCCAACAAAGCTAAATAACATGCTACAGCCTGCTGAAAGGGTTGCAGTCGTCTGGAAAGTTTAAGAACCACTGCTCCACAACAGTCAAGATGTTACAGACTTCTGTCGTATCCCCTCTTAGTCATCTGTTTTCCAAGCTGAAACATCTCCGTCTTTTTCATCTCTCCTTATAGGGAAGCTGTTCCATACTCCTAATATTTTGTTGTTTTTTTCCAATTCAAATGTATCTATTTTGGGGAAGGAGCGACCTAATCTGCATGCAGTAGTCAAGATGTGGGCACACCATGGATTTATATAAAGGCATTATGAGAGAGTAATCCACGGTGCCTATGATTATAGTATTTAGGCAGTACATTGAATGAAAAAGCACAAAAGTTTATACCAAAGATGTATTTTTTTCCTCAGTTCTTCCAGGCGAAGAGCATGACTTTGTGCAGGATATTTTAATATTCAAGTGCATGGAGTCTTCTCATTGAATACTGCCTCTGCCCACTTGCTTGGGAGAGAGTTTATTCTTTGTATAGTGCACATTTGAGATGTGCTTTTGTTGCTGTATGTAGTAGACAGGAAGAGTCTGAATGGTACATGACAACCAGAAAATATACCCCCCTCAACATTGCATTTTCTATCAGCATTGAGGAAAAAATTGTACTGATTAAAATTATGGTTATGCTTTACACTTTACATAGGTGATAAAACTGGCAGTGCTTTTCATTTGTTTTAATACATAGCTGTTGATTTGAGACTCTTAAAATTAGCTAATCAGTAAATCTAGGAAATATGTTCTCTTATATTTAAAAAAACACTTAAACCCTCTGTTTAATTTTACTTGAAATGAAAGGTACCATGTTTCTGAGTTAGTGTGCAGTATTTTGGATCAGACAGTGAAGTTCTATATCTTCAAAAGCCTGCAAACACACTTTGCACAGAGTTAAGCACAAATACTCTTGTGAATTTGCACCTCATGTAGCACCTAGAATATGATGCAGTCAAACTCCAGGTTTGATGCTGTTGCCCCATGCTAACAGAAGTTATGTTGTGCTTTATTTTAAATAAATTTTAGAGATTTTGCTTTTGAAGATGTATTAGAAGGTAGCATCCTAAACCCTGTCCCAATGTTGCTTTTGTTCAAGGAACATGGATCAAGGAAAAACTGTACAGTTATTAGGCAGCTGGTGTGCTGTGACAGCTGCTTATCATGCAGACCAGTATTACTCATTGTTTCCTTCTGCTCCCCCCATCTTTTTGTTGTAGCCCCTTGTCTCTTGTATTATGTTCTTAGATTGTAAGCTATGTGAATCAGAGGCTGTCATTTTTTTTATTTGTACAATATTTAACACAGTGGGTCTCTGATCAGAGATTGAGGCACTGGAGTGCTATGGTAATATAAATTAATAACCACGAACACTTGTTTTTTATCAACAAGCTGTCACCAGGAAATTGCATTCACACCTGTTAGTTTAGTCTAATTCCTTTCTGTATTTCCATTCAGGTTAGTGTTTTAGGAATTTGCTTTCTTTTAGATGTCTGTGGCCTTGCAGTTAGCTTATGATAATAATTGATTTGTATTGGTGCAGGTTTTAACTACTGGCTTATCTGCAGGGTGTATTCAGCTCTCGAGGAAAAAAAATTCTCATGGCAGATGCAGATGGAGCCACAAAGTTTGCAGATATTGAAAAAGTAGAAGAGGGTCTCAGAAATCTCCAGCCTTGGCCAGTAAGTAGCTGTCATTTCAGCTGAATTAGTTTGTTTATGGAATGGTTGTATTTCTCTTTATTAACAAGTTTCTTGAACACATATTGAATGTATGAATTCTAGGTCCCAATTTTACAAATACTTAAAATGTGCATAACTTTGAACTTGACATCATGGGGACTACTTATAGTGCAGCAAGCTAAGCATGTTGCATATCTTTTTGCAAGATCTGGAGCCTTAATTTGCACTCTTTGACTCTTGTATCTTCATTGAGTGTCCGATCTAGGCATTTTGCATTGCTAGCCCTTTTTTACTTTCTAGAATAACAGTTCACATGCTGCCTATTTATTTAAAAATTTGCTTTTTTCTTCCTTTATTAATTTGATATGTTGTTTAACCCAATTTCCTCCTACGTTGTTCAGAGAATGACTCTCTATTTTATTCTAATTCTTCTATTTCCTGTCAGCAGATGGCTGACTTTTAATTTGCAGATGTCAGTTTATTCAGATTAAGTGTCCTCTATGAAGACTAACCGTTTTTATCTTGGGGGAAAAAATGATTTTGGAGGTCATGTCAGATCACAGTGTGTATCCAGATAGGATAACAGTGACATTTTAGAGCTGCTTGACTTGAGAGAACTCATTTTTAGGTTGCATGTTTTTTAAACACCACAAGTTGATGTGGTACTTGTAACCCTCCTCATAATGGAAGGGAGCAATATGTAACTTCTATACTTAAGATTTTTTCTCCCCCATTTGTTCCCCATTGGTGCTGATACAAAGTGGTCTAAAATAGCCATTTGGTCAAACAGATAAAGTTCTGACCCCAGTAGATGGCGCTAACTGATTTACGTGTCTTTTAAATCTGTGCTATTGAAAAGGCAGCAGGCCTTAATTCTTCAGAATTTTCCTAAAGCCCAGAAATGATTTTTTTTCATTACAAAAGTAATAATGTGTGAGTAATTTTAATACAAGCCGTTGGACGTACAGAAGGCCCCCGCTTTGCGGCGGCATGAGTTACGACCCCCGGCACTTCCGGAAAAAATGGTCTTTTCCGTAAGCGCGGAAGGGGCTGAAAACCTCCGACTTACATCCTCGACCCCGCATTTACAACAGTGTACGGCGTCTGTCGTAAACGCGGACTTGAGTTACAACGCCCCCAACTTGTGACGTGATCTCTGGAACTGATCACGTCGCAAGTCGGGGGAAGCCTGTATCCCCTACAATTTGTAGTATCAGCAAAATCAGATCTTCCAGTCTGGTACCTGTTTCCCTATTGGAAGTCTTAAGCCCAAACGTGTTCATACATATTAAATGTACCTAGATATTTTTGTTGTCTGAACTATGAAATACTTTTCTCTCTGAAATGTTCAGATACATTCTTATGTCTGGTCTACGCTACGGGGAGGAGCTCAATCTAAGTTATGCAGCTTCAGCTACATGAATAGCATAGCTGAAGTCATCATACTTAGATCTACTTATCAGTGTCTCCCTTCACTGTGTCGACGGGAGAGCATCTCCTATCGACTTTCCTTATGCTTCTTGAGGAGGTGTAGTACACAAATCAATGGGTATGTGCACTCCTGTCAAATTATTGTGTCTTTACCAGACTCAGTAAATCAATAGTTGCTGCATCGATAGCAGCTGTGCTAATTTACTGGAAAATGTAGGCGTATCCTTACTTCTGAACAAGACCTGAATAAAATGCAACAATCTGAACTTGCCATATACAAAATGCAATAAGTTTTAGACAACCCATAAAATATAGAAAGGCTTTATTGTAGCTACACGTTCAAGCAATAAGGTTTGTGCAACTCCTCAAAACCAGAAATTTCTATTGCTTTGACCAATTCAGTGGCAAGATGAGGCCCTCAGGATGCTTTTTAAGGTTACACAAAAAAACCTGAATAGAAGAAGCCAGTGATTCAGAAAACATTTGTGGTGTTGCAATTAGTTTCCAGGTCTTATGTATGTGTTTCTCTGCAGGACCAGATGGCTATTGCTTGTGGCTCTCGAGCTCATTTGGAACAAGACTCAATAGCACAGGTAAGCGTCTTTTCCCTACTGTGAACTTGTCTCTTAGAACTTCTATATTTTCATGAACATTCCCATTTTTATATTAAATCAAGACATACAAAAATGCATGGAGGCTGATAGTAGGGAAGGCTGTTCTCCTGGCACCTCTAGAAGTAGTCCAGTGTGACTAAAAGCTCTGTGTTCCCAGAGTTCAGACACCACCAGCAGGAAGTTTGAGCTAGATTTCAGCTTACAAGGATTTAAATCAGTTGCTTCAGCAGAGAACGGGCTTTTTGGTCTCAAACGCAGAAGACAGTATATGTGCACAAATCTGTTGAACATGAAACCAAAACTGTAATCACTAACCGTGTGTCTAGACTACACGGTTTTGTCGACAAAAGTGGACTTTTGTCACCAAAACTATACCTGCGTCTACACTACCGCCGTGTTCTGTCGACAGTCAAGAGAACATGGCAGTTTTGTCGACGGCGGTAAACCTCGTTCTACGAGGAATAATGCCTTTTTTTTGACAGAGTTATGTCGAAAAAAGGAGCTATTGCATCCACACTGTGCTTTTTCAAAAGAGAGCATCTAGACTCTGTCGAAAAAGTGGCTTGCTTTGTTGACAGAATTGGCTGTAGTCTAGATGCTCTTTTTTGACCAAGGCTTTGTCAACAAAAGCCTGTAGTCTAGACGTACCACAAGTGGAGAGCTTTAGGCACAGAACATTCAGGCAGATGCTTTGGAAGGCCTGTGGTTCTACAATTTCTCTGCAGCTCATGGGCTCCTCATGCACATGCACACATTCTCCAAGTACTGGGATAACGGAGAGAAGCAACTGGCTTCTTGACTTTAATTTCTTTCCTTTTAGTCCAACAATTTGTCACTCTTCCACTTTTAAGACCTGGGTTGAGTGGCAAAGGTTTTGTTGTAAGTAGTAATAAAACATTTGAAAGAGTTTCACAGTTCTCTTGCAATCAACATTATGAAAATTAATATCATGTTAATGGTTGCCTTGTTGCCATCCAGACTGCCCCAGCAAATGTAGATTTGAAATTCTGAACTTCCTGCAAGCTTAGCTTATTTGGAACTTTTGCATTTCTTTCCCCTCCTTTAAGAATCACTTGCAGTGCAAGGACTTTCCTAAAACTCCTTGCTACAACTTTGCCCTGGAAAAGGAAAATTGGAGAGGCCGTGACCGCTAGCGGGTCTCATGCTTGCAGGTTTCCAAAATTGCTACCAATGACAAGTGAATGTTGCTTCTTCTGATAGAATATGCATACTGAGAAAATGAACACAGTGTTTTAATCTTGAATGAGTTCCAGGCAAAGAGCCTCTGAAAAGATCCTTGAGACAGAGACTACAAGGTTGGTTTGTAGAAATATTGGTAATCCATATGAAAGCAGAATTTCAATATGAATAGGAAATCTGCAGTAGAATGGTGTATTGAATACACACTAGACAGAACAATTTATTATGTGACTATTATGCAACAAACTCGCAACAGCACACAATCTTTTTTTACATCTGTTGTACTGATGTTTTGGCAGACATAGCACAGACATTGCACTTACATTGCAACAAACACATTGCTGGACTAATTTATCTAACATCATTAAATGAACTCATAATGCTACATTTTCTCTAGAACAAGCTGTGTTTACACTGGCAAGCACTGGTGTATGATACTTAAAATCATTCTAAAATGTATACAAAATACTGCAAAAGTTCAGAAGGCAATAGAATGGAGTTCAAATCCTGGTATATCTTCTACTTTTCCCCAGTGTAATGAAATAATTTTTGGGGTTCAAACAATTTTCCTCTTGGGGCTCAAGCAATATTTTTACATTCATAACTCATGCAGCAAGCCCACAGATGTCAGGGCTACAAACTGCCATGCAAAGAGGGGCCAGGGAAGAGCCCTGGCAAGTCCTGGCACAAATTCAGCACTGCTTTTCCCTCCGGATTATCCGATAGGAGAATAGATCCCAAACACAATCAGTGCTCTGGCAATGTTCATGTGAGCATTCGTGAGTAGAAAGTTTGCATCATAGTTGAGAAGAAACCCTGAAGCTCTTTCAATAATGGGACTAAATCCTGGACCCTGTGCTCAAAAAGTTAATGGGTACAGAAGATCCTTACTATCTACGTATGCCGTCTGTGCACCAGACCAATTAATCTCAGGGATGATTTGGCCAGATGCATATAAAGTGGGATCCTTAAATTGTGTTGTGTGTTTGCACAGGTTGAATAGTGGGGCCCAGGCCAGTCTCCATTGGGGCAAGAAGGGAATGTTACTCTGCCTCCATCTCTACTTTGCCATCAGCTGCAGACCTAGTTCCTGGCTGTTGCACTGCACCCATCCGTTGCATCAGCTGGCCATGGTGGGAGCCAGTGACTCCACTCCCAGCCAGGGGGAAGAGAGAATGGTGGTGCAGATTGGGCAGTGGAGGTATAATGTGAAAACTTTGGGACTGCTGATATACAGGGCAAAAGGGCTCTCTGATTCTGTGTCATGTGATAAGCTGCTGAGGTATCGTATACAGATGACCTCCCTTCAAGTGCATCCAGCTCCCACTTTCCCTCACAAGGTTTCTCCCAAGACATTAGGGAGGAGAATTGGAATGGGCCTTTCTAAGGGCAAATTTGCTTCCCCCTACCTCTCTGTTACTGTAGTGAGCAAATCTTCAGCAGATCAGGTACTACTAATCCCGTCATCTGCCAGCTCTTTGAATCATGCAGCCTGTTCCCTCTCCTGAGTGTCACGTAGCCACAGTAGCACTCCATATGTTCTAATTGGGGATGGGATCACAGGAAAGGGGGGATGAGCAGCCACTGGAGAATGCTCTCTGAATTCAGAAACAATAGGGCTGTGGAGCCAAACTTCACCTATAGGTGGGAGGGTCTGTGGTTAGGACCAAGGTTTGGTCTTAGTGCTTAAGAATTACTCATAAATAAAAGTTCCAGCTAAAGCAAAATGGGAGAAAATCTACAGGAAACTAGAGTTGTTAAATTTAGTTGAATCAACTAATCGACTAGTTGATTAGTCAATAATTGGGGGAGCCGCAGCGTCTGGGATTGGGTACGAGCTGGGATTTTGTGTCCAGTCCCCGTTACTCTCCTGCCCACGCCCGCGGAGATGGTGCTGGGGGGAACCAGCTTTTAAATCGGCTCCCCACAACACCGGCTCCTGCTCTCTCCCCATCCCCCGCCTTGCTGATAGATGCAGCAAGGGGGAGGAAGCGACTAGTTGAGGGACTAGTTGATTATCCAATAAGCTTATGCTTATTGAATAGTCAACTAGTCACTTACATCCCTACTGGAAACTTTAAAGATATTTGCATAAACTAAATTACAAGATAAATAAGTACTGACAAGTGTTGGCTTCTTCTGTATTATATTTACATGTGTGTTATACATCATTCATGACTAGCTGTATAGGAGAACAGTTGCTCAGTCCGACATATGTACAGTATTCATAAGCATACATCCTCTTCCTGTAAGTTCCATGGCTTTGTGTCCTTAAAGCAGTATTCGCTTAAGCTGCACTGACCTTGAATGAAAGAAATCAAGCAGTGAACAAATAAAAGGATGCTGTTGAAGTGGGGTTTGTTGTCGTTCTTTTAAGGCCTGACATAAAGCTATCTTTAATTTACATATTAAAATAGTAATTGGGATCTCTTTACGATTTTACATCTAACTTAAATGTGTTTAAATTTTTAAAATCTAAGCTTCCAAAATTAATTTTAAAAGAATTGTGTATGGTTAAAATAAACATCCTTTTGTGAGTGCAACATTATGTCCTAACATAACTATGTAATTCTACTTACATGATCTATACCAAGTTCTGAACAGGAGAAAGAAAGAGCCTGAAGCATGGGCCTGGTGTAAGGCCTGAGAGCTGGACTAAAGTAAACAAGAGTTATACTATGAGTAACAAAAAAAGCAAATGTTTGCCTTCAAGTTTGGGACATGAACTTGGCACTAAATCTGCTAGCACTGCTAAAGCACATGAAATATGTACATATATTCCATCAGGACAACACAAGGACACCCCAATGTAGAACATAATTAAAAAAAGTTTTAAAACAACAGGAGCAAAAGCATAGCAACTTAGCTTATTTGGAAAATGTGCATTTCTTTCCCCTCCTTTAATTAAGAATCACTTCCAATGCAAGTACCTTCCTAAAAGGTAAATGTGCTATTAACAAAGTGTTAATTTCTCATTTTTAAAATATAGTTATAAAAATGCCATAGTTAAAAAATAACAATTTATGCATAAAGCTAACCAAACTATTTCAAGAGGCTTCCACCTTTGTTTCCCAATACAATCAACTGTCAAAGTATTTTCATCATCCTGCAGTTAAATTTCATGTTGGTTTTATTGCCTGTATTTAAAATTCATTTTGGTTTATTTTTTCTTCTCTTTTAAGTTCTATTAAAGAAAAATTGTATTTGCTAATATTTGTGCTTCTAAACAGTTAACAAAAATAAAATTGGTATCACAGGCAAGTTGATTCTAAAAAGTGTGGTAAGAATTATGTTGTTAGCTCTCTTGCTAAAAAAATGCAAAAAGCAATACTCCTCACAAAAAACTGTAAGCATCTATTTTAGCACTTAAATGTTTTGTTTAGTATAAAATATTAGTAATGTATATTACGTAAAAATAAATGTTTATTTAACAATTACAAAGGTATAGCCTAATGTCATGAAAAATGTGGTCCCATCAAACTAAATTAATCCATGTGTTACAGTTTGGGTTACTAAAAACAAAAAAAAACAAAAAAAATTTTTTTATTCTGTTAACTAATTTAAGCTGTTTAAAGTTGCATTCTTCTAACTTGGGTTGTTAAATATCGGTTAATTGAATAATAGATTAACCTCGTGAATTCTTATTGGTTTCTCAGCCATTCTATAGTCCCTGGGGGTGGGGCTGGCAGCCAGTGTGCTCCGGCTCCACTCCCGAAGAGCTGCATGCCACTCTGCACTGCTGCCTCTGTATTAGAGGCAGCAGCATGAAGTGGCAGGAGGAGCTGCTCCACCAGAGGAGCCAGTTTAAAAACCAGCTCCCTTCATGGACAGGCTGACTGTTGCCCTGTGCTGCTACCTCTGAATCAGAAGCAGCAGCCCCTGTCCAGGGGTGAGGGCTTGAGCTCCCAGACAACTGAGCCAGGCTGCCTGCCTGGCTCCTAATACATCTTAAATGCAGAGCTGCAGCAGGGGTAGGTCCTGGATCCAGTGAAAGCAAGGACTGAGCCAGGCTGTTGGCCAGCCTACTGAAAAATTTACTGGAGGAGGGGAGGGAAATGTGTGTAGTCTATAACGTTAACCTATAAGCTTTTGCTTATCAGTTAATCGACTGTGCTATGACATCCTTACTAGAAACCAATACCACAAAAACATACATATATAAAAATTAAAAATACCCAGTGTTTAAAAAAATGTTTTATAAATAAAAACTGGTCAAATGCACCTCCATCCACCATATATAGACATTTAAATTAGCAATCAGCTAAAAATTCCTATTAATTAACTTAAAGCTGGCTACTGTGTAAACAGTAGTACTGCTGTATCACTGTATTATTGCTGTATTGTTGTATTAATGTACACCATTTACAATGTGCATAACATTGCTAAACTGTTTAACCATCACAAAGGTTAAAAAAGAAAAAAGCAACAACTTAAAAAAACACAACCAAGTGGTAAACCAAAAGTTGCATAGTAACTATACACTAAATAAAAAAATTCACTGTTAGCATAAGTCATAATTTAGGGTCAATAACACAGTATCCTAACTAAAGCATATGTTATTCAAAACAATCTTGTTCAGTATCTGGGTATCAATACTAACTCATAACACAACATTTAATAAATTAGTTACTGTCCATTCCGTCCATTCCGTAGGTTATCTAAAAAACAACATCCATAAAAATCAGCTGGCTCTATATCAACTACTGTTGTATCACAAAGCAGTGTTACCAATAAAACAAAAAAGCTAGCTATTCCTGTTTCCTGCCCAGCAAAGCTTATACCAAAAAGCAACCACCAGCAGTAAGAGTAACATATAACATAAATAAATAGTACTGTGTAATAACCAGTTTTAAAACAATTATATAAAAAAATCATTTGTAATGTCACTACTCCAAATTTCTGTTTTACTTCTCAAACACATAGTCTTGTAAAACACGCTGTAACAATACTTATTCCAATATTGCAAAACACTCCGCCTATAGCCAATAATGGTAACTATAATAGCCCTAATAAAAATGCGTTCCTATCTATAGCACTACATTTGAAAACCAATCTGCCACATCATATTAAAAAAATATATATATAATTATGTTTGGGTATAAAATAGTCACATAATAAAGTTTTGTGCAAAAGGGACTTTTGCCCGAACGGGAGCAGCATAGTATTTCCGCAAAAAGCATTGATTTCTTACAGTAGGAAGTCAGTGCTTTTGCGGAAATTCAAGCGGCCAGTGTAGACAGCCAGCTGTGTCTGGCTACCTACGACTATTAATGTACTTAATTCAACAATAAACATAGCTTTGGGTGCCTTTGTATCTTATCTGAGTCTGTAGTCTTTGGGGCTCTCTTGAAGTATTATGCTAGTTACCTGCACAGAGCTGGCATGATGTACTAAACAAGCATACAAAAACACACACACCTGAATGTTTATCATCACTAACCGAGCAAAAGACCTGTCAGGACGCCACACCAGTAAATCCTGAATTTGCTACACTGCTGTCCTGACCTACATTCTGTAGGTGTATTGTTTGTTTAAATGTGAGTTTTGGAAACAAAACTTTATAAATACATAGTTGCAATAAGGATCCCATTCTGTACTGTAACACATACCATTATATAGAGCTTCAAATGTAGGGGTGGTTAATTGAGGCAAAATGATTTCAGCCGACTATAGTGTGTCATTAACACCAAACCACTTTGTAGAAACCTCAGTTATCCCAAAAGTTTTGGGATGGATGTCAGAGGAGAGATTATATAGTTGGGTGTTTCGGGCATTGGCCTGGGATTTGAGACAACCACAATCAAGTCCATGCTCTGCATGATTTGGTACAATCTGAATTGAAAACTTGTTCTGAGTCAGGCTCGACAAGGACTTAGATCTGCATCTCATGCATCCCAGGAGAGATCCTAGGTGTGACTGTCCGATACACCTCTCCCCCACCACAGTTCTCTTTTTATTTCATGTGGAATAAACACAATTTTCTAACCTCAAAATTGTCATGAAGTAGAATTCTCATCCTGTGTTCAGACCAAATCAGAAGTTCCTGTTGCCATATAAATGAAAACATCTGATTTCTTGGCTTTTGTTCACAGCGTTCTTACTTCCGAACTCTTCTCATGTATGGGTTCCACTTCCTAGTATGGTTCCTCTGTGTCAAGGAAATCAGGGATACACAATGTGGATTTAAACTGTTAACCAGAGAAGCTGCCTCACGGACTTTTTCAGCTCTTCATATAGAACGCTGGTAGGTACTTTCACTTAGCTTAAATTAATTTTTCTATTTTTAATTTTTATAGTAGTTGATCAAGGTTTTGAAAATATAACTCGCATAGTGAAACTGCAATAAACAATTTGTGTGTGTATCGAAACAGCTGCTCAATCGTTTATCAGTTCTAGTAATTGTCTTTTGTGTTGCTCTACATTTCTTATTGTTTGAAACTATTACGTTTGCAACACACTGAATTTTATATTAAGACTTCAGTGTATTTCTATTAACTCCAATACCTTTCATAGACATGTAGAACTGTAAGGGACTCAAGAAATCAAGTCCTGCTCATATGCTAAGGCAGGACCAAGTAAATCTGGACCATCCATGACAGGTATTCCTCTAAACAGTTCTTAAAATTCTCCAATGATGAGGATGCCATAATGTCCCGTGGAAGATTATTCTAAAGCTTCACTACTCATAGTTAGAATTTTTTTTCCCAAATATCTAGTCTGACTCTCCCTTGCTTTGTATTAACCCTATTACTGGAGCCCTGCATAGATACAAAATTTGTATCCGAATCTGCAGTTATGATCCATGGATGTCAGCATCCACAGCTGTGAATGAAGATACCCCTGAGTATAAAGTTTATACCCACAAATTTGCAGGACTCTAGATACAAAATTTGTATCCGTATCTGCAAAAATGAACTATGGACATAAAGCAGATCTGCAGATTCCACCACCTATCACTATAGTAAAACCTGTGTTATCCAGCACGCTTGGGGGTTAGGGCGTTCCGGTTATCTAAAAATTCTGGTTATCTGAGGGTCCCATCAACCTAGGAAAAACCAATAGACAATACAGGCAGTCCCCGGGTTACGTACAAGATAGGGACTGTAGGTTTGTTCTTAAGTTGAATCTTAAGTATGTAAGTCGGAACGGGCATCAGCCGCTGCTGAAACTGATCAGTTTCAACCGCGGCTGAATCTGGATGCCAGTTCTGACTTACATACAGATTCAACTTAAGAAACCCAGGCATCCCCAAGTCAGCTGCTGCTGAAACTGATCAGCGGCTGATTCTAGGAAGCCTGGGGCAGAGCAACTCTGCCTCGGGCTTCCTGTAGTCAGCGCTGGTCAGTTTCAGCAGTGGCTGACTTGGGGGCGCCTGGGGCAGAGCAGCTGGTGTGCTGCTGGGTTGGTCCCGCAGCGCTGCTCCTCGGCGCTGTGGGACCAACCCGGCAGCACCCCAGCTGCTCTGCCCAGGTGTCCCCAAGTCAGCCGCTGCTGATACTGATCCGCGGGT